TTAATGAATAGGCTGGCCGACAAGCCACTGATGACAGCTATTCATTTACAGGGGATCATCATGAGAAGCTTTCTACTATAAGCCTATGGTGGCTTTGAATTATGTTCTCACAATCCTCTGCATTACTGTAGCCAGACTGAAAGTGGAAGGCTTCACTGCAATATACAATGTTGTCAGGCTGCTTACAGGAGGAGGGGAGCACAGGGATGTCTTCAGCATTCGGAGGATTGCTTGTGTTCTGCTAATGAGCAAACAAGTGACACAGGTGTCTGGTAGAGAATATGAGCGGGTATGTGTAATTTGCCAAAATGGCTGAACAAAATGGCTGAACTGTTATGTATTTCAACTGTATATTTTGCTGTGTGTCTGGAGATGTTTTCAATTTACAAATGTCCCATCACACTACAGACCGGATAGCCACAATGTTAAGCCAAAGGGTGCTGGAATGACGTGTGCATGGTGCCACACAAATCGCACCTCAAGGTCCAATACATCAATACGTCCCTTTGTTGACATCAAATACACATGGCATCACATATAGAAGCACCGTTTTGGAACCTTGAACGGTCCCTTGTGGTGGCCGCTACATTTTTTGTCTGATGAAGGGACCGTGCAAAGTTCCAAAACGTTGCTTCTATGTGATGCAATGTGTATCTCGTCAATAAAAGCAATGTATTGATGCATTGGACCTTGGAGTGTGGGTGACTATCTCTTCTACGTTTGGAGAAATGTTTTAACACCTAGTTAACAATCCCATCACATTGGTCATATAGATATGAATGCACATCAATGTCACGTTTGGCGGAGCTCCAACTGCTGTTCTTCCAAATGTCAGAATAAGAATTTAGCTTCAATTCTACCAACTGGAGTTCTACAAAATACAGAAAACATATGAACATTAAGGAATGCTGAACAGATGCATCTTACTCTTCCATGCAATATCTTTCTTTAACGTGTACCTGTGCCCATACATTAAAACCTTTACATATTACATAAGCAGTAAAGAGCTTTCCTGACCCCTTTAGCCGCATGTACTGTGAAGTAATTCATCCTCAAAGTGCACAACAAAGTTGAGTTTCAGTTTGCTTCTAACAGTTAAAAACATCTGAGGCTCAATTCACAAAGTTGTAACACTAGAATATCTCATTAGACTCAGCTGAAAGTTTCCCCCTTTTTTTAAATAAAAGTCTTATCTTGGTGTGTTGGCTTTAGGAATTGAGAATATGGTGTTTCTTTACAATAGAGGGCTGACCGGCTGCCAAGAATGAATCTGCTTTCTCTAGAAGATGACGGGGAAGGGAGCTGTGATTTCAGTGCCTCTGTTGTGAACTTTGAAGAGGAACTTATCCACAATGCCTGTAGCTGCAGAGCTGAATGGGTGTGCAAGTGCTTTTACTGCTTGTTCACAATAGTTCAACATGTATAGTCTGGGCAAAGGTTCACTATAAAACTTGAAGCTGCCATTTTAGATTTTGCCACCTACAGGTAAAATCTAGTATTGCAGCCCAACTATTCAGGTATAAACATTCTGTGGTACCAGATGGAAAGGAAGAATGCCACTGCTGCTTTAAGCAAACCTGAGGGTGGAGAATAGCTTATAACATAGTCTACTAAGCACACAGCAGGCACCTTTATGCCTATCAAATGGCCACCAAATGTGACTGGCGTCGGTGGCCAGTAAAAGGCAGGAGGTCACAGCTCAATTACAGAAGCCAAAGTAAATATGTTTTGTAGAGTGTCCCAGGTTTTTGGATTTGAGGGCGCACTGAAGGTAATCTTACAATACGAGCTTGTATTGTGACTGCACTATTGATCAGGGAACCCTTTGACCAAGCCTACGCGTTTTGTTTTATGAAAGGATGTATTTGCTGGAACAAAGTCATATGGTCTAATTTGTATTTATCCTGGAAATCTCCTCATCTTGGAAAATCGGTATGGCCAATCATACGTTTTATAATAGGAATATACAGATTGATATAATTTCTCACAACACAAGATGTTTTACAAAATTAAGACAGCAAAGTAAGAACACGTTCACCTCCATAAACAGTATTACTCTATCTGGTCAATCAATCAAGACATCACTAAACAGAACATGAAACAGGAGGTAACTAAGGTCATCTATCAGCTTGCATGGAGTGCGCAGTACCATTTCTGTTATGCAATGCTCAGTAGAAATTTGGCATGAATTTATAAATGAAACTATAGCAAAGCTCAATCAATATCAATATTCTCCGCTTATGGTCAGAGAATCATACCAACTCTATACTAAATACCTTACAAGCATCACTGGATGGTTTTGTGTTTGGGTCAAATCTTTGCATTCACATTCAATGCTTAAATTGCAGCGAGGCACAAAGTTAAAATTCTGCACAGCAGACATATACATCACATACTAGGACAACTGAACAGATGCCATCCATTAAGTCTCATTACAAACCAGGTATTTAAAATAAACTACTTCAAAGAGGTCTATAAAAGTTTAGTGGACACCTATGGAGAAAAGGAAGCCTTAGAGCTACAACTTTTGCCAGATAACAAGTCTCAAATAGGAAAAGAAAAATTCATGTAAAGTTTAAGAAAATATGTATGCAGATTTCAAGAGCCAGTCTGCCCAACCCTGGAGCAGGTAACATGTCATGTAGCAGGGAAAAAGCACCAGCATCATCAACAACAATACAAAAATATAGTGTATCCTTCAAGGTGCATTGGCCAACGAACTCTTGGGAGTTTTTGTAGGCTTGCTCCTAAACGCAAATAAAATGGGTTCATAAGCCAAAATAAAAACTCACACAGGAACACAACACATAGTGTTCCTTTCATGCTTTAGGTCAGGGGTGGGGAACCTCCGCCCCCCCAGCTGTGGTGAAACTACAAATCCCAAGATGAATCTGCCTTTCAGAGTCATGCCTGTGAGAATCTTGTAATGCCTCATGGGATTTGTAGTTTCACCACAGCTGGAGGGCCGGAGATTCCTCACCCCTGCTTTAGGTGAATGCATTTGGCTGTAAAGAAACCTTTTCAGTGTCCTACAGTAACGCCATACTTATTACTTTCAATTTTCATATCCTTTATATGTAGTTTTCAGTTTTGAGTTTGCAAGAGGTAACTTGTATTTAGGTTAAGAGGCCCTTCAAAATGACTGTGCAAATAGCTGCATGCTTTCCACCTAACAAGAAGTTGTGGAGAAGCATGATGGAGTAATATAGTAAGAGACTGCATTATATCATGGCTGATACAAAGATTAAACTTCTTGCTGAGGATAATCCATCATAGTATCATAGCCCCTAATGCAATCATACAAATATCTCTATACAATATGCAAAACAGAGAATTAAAGTTTGACATGCGAGTCACTTCACAGACAAGAATATACTTCTGGTGTCTGCTATTTCAGCTAACCTATTTGCAGGGACAAATCCCGAGGCTGGGTGTCACATTGTGACGTCATTGTGCATGACGTTGCCGCGCGTGCGGGACAACGTCATCGCACATGTGCGGTCGTCTTATTGATGCCTGCCGGCTGCCATCTTGGTGATGGACGCCAGCAGAGAGAGGAGGGGACGTTCACCCAGCTCCGTGACCAGGTGCCCGACATTTCAAAGGGGGTGACATCAAAATGACTGTCAGTCATTTTGGTGTCACCCCTCCAATGCTGGCACCCGGGTGCGGGCCGCACCCCCCTTGTGACGCCACTGCCTATTTGGCAACGTATAGGTTCTGTACCCTTGTATTTCAAAAGGTGCCACTTGGTAGGAGTTTCTGATCCTCCAAGAACAAGTCTGAAAGAGTACACGAACCCAATGGCTCAGCACACGCTTTGACACCACATTGACTTACACTGACTGCCTCAAAAGGACCTTCCCCACCAGAAGAGCATTCCAAGTAGGGCTTAAGCCTTGGCACTGGGTGCTGTGCTTCTTAACTCCGTGCCAAAGGAGACTTAGCCAAAGGCTTAGAGTTCATACATACCGTTGACAGCAATGCAGTTCTCAAAATATAGCTGCAATCTCATATACTGAATAGTCACTGAAGCCTTTAGTTGTGTGCACACACTTAAAAGTGAATCTGTCCATATTACAAAGTAATTAAAATGTCAAAGTTGCCTATTCACAGCTACCGCAAGATGCTTGCACATTCCCTCACTTTTTTCTGTGCTTTGGGAGCCTCTGTCTGTACTGTACACAAATAACTTTACAATTTTCCAGCAGCATCCCATAATTCAAACTGTGTATCTCTCTTAATTGCTAAGATGTGGCATTTAAATTGCTGCCAGCGCTCCAATTTGGGTCATCAAATCTTTGAATACAATAAGGTTCTATGCTCAGGGCTCGTAAGGTGCACAGAAGCACCTCTGTCTAGAAAAATAGGTATGGAATGGACACCTTCTGGTATAGCTAGTAGTAATTCAGCATGTTAAAATGGACCCAAAATTGTCCATAAGCGGCTTTACAGGTCATCAGTTTAGAGTTAACAGTAAATGATGCCTCTGGAGTTATTTCTCTCTGGCACGCCCGGTGATACCCAGTTAGGGGCAATCATCATTTTTGTTCATGGGCAAACAAATGTAATAAACCTTTTTTTTTTTTTTTAGCCAATTTTTATTTTTTTACTTAACATTATTGCTATCACAAGGTGGTTGCACTACATGTGTAAGTGATCTGGTGACTTTACAGCCACCTGAATCCCTTCCAGTAAAAAGCTGAGAAAACGTAAACAAATTTTCAGCAGCTAAAGGTGCTGGGAGTCTGTTTCAGAGGTTGGTGCTTCTGCTAAAATAGCGTTATGTCAGTGGCAGCGAAAGGTTTATTAACTTTGAAATTCAAATTACTTTAAAGTGAATGCACATGCATACAATATTAACTGGTTAGACAAGTTCATTATATGTTAAAGTGAATGAGATTAGAAACATGTAGCCACCCTAGAGATGGCAGTACTACCATGTCCCGGATCATAAACAGCAAATGTGGTCACATTGGTAATCACATCCTCATCCCAAATATAGAACGGATAAAAAAAAGAAAATATGCAGAACTGTGCCTAATTTACAAAATAAGGTTTAAATTACTTGCATGTTCTTAAATAAAGCTGCTTACTAGAATTCTTCATTAAACCACAACTGATATGCCAAATAAGTATTGCAGTTTGAGAGTCCACTCTCCTGTCAAGGAAAAATACTATATATATATATATATTCTGTATAACTATAGGATACAAATGTTTTCATTTAAATATTCCAGATTATTTTTTAATAGTTAAAAGTTCCATATTAGCTGAAGTAGGTTAGCACAATCATTTGGATGGGCTGTCTACAGACAGGACAAGGCTTGTTCCTTTTCTTCAGTTTCTTTGCACAGCTAAAGCATGCCATGAGGTGTCCTGTTCTGCCATGGACAATACATCCATTTTTCGGCCTCGTCTGACAAATGACGCAAGGCTCTATGCTGGTCAATGGCAAGCTCTTTTCTGAGCTTTCTTCAAAGGATTGCTCTCGCTCACTCTCTCTGATCTCCTCTTGACTACAGGAAGCCATGCTACCCGACGTGGATGGCTGGGAGAAGTCCTCAGTCTCCTGGGATTCTGAACTTTGTAAGACTTCATCTTCCTTCTTTTCTAGGTTTGATTCTTGTGAATCTGCTAATTTTGCCTTTTTGCCATCAGGAACATCAAAACCCTCATCATCCTGAGAATCTTCCATCTCTTTCCTCTTTAGGGAATTAGCTTTTTTCTCGTTCTCATCAGGAAGCCAGCCCTTTCGAAGTGACCAACACCTGTGACAGTATCTCGGGATGGGAGGATTCATCTCACTACATTTAGAACATTTCCAATAGTCCTGCAATGACAGTTACAAAACACACTTACCACATAGCACCCCAAAAACAGCCTAGTCAAAAAGGACATTTCAATGTGCATGTTTACAATGGCTCTTTCATTTTACGGCAGACCTATGTATAGTTGATGATTTGAATATACTTTTTTTTTTTAAAGAACTATCAAAATCGTTTAAAGACATTGTGACAAAAGTAGGACTAAATTGCTTTACTGTTCTCAACATCTTCTGGACTTTAAAGATAAGGTTTAAGTGCTCCTTCTTGTCTGGATATCCATTTAATAATATATGATTAGGTTGCAAGAAATAATAATTGTTTTTCATTGTTCTCAAAATGGTAAAAAGCAGATTAGTTTTTCCTGCTGCAACATATCTGCTCAACACTGGTAGCCAGCATATAAAGCTACACTGCCCATATGTAGCTACCCAATAAAGTAAGTATGGGTCTTGAGGGGTTGACTTATTGATTAGGTTAAAGGTTAGCGTCAGTGTCTAGCTTAGCTGATTAATAGATAGGTAAGTACAGGCTAAAATGTATCTTTCCTTTGCCTATGTAGAGCAAAAGGAAAGGTTTAACTTGTCTATACCTTTCCATGGCAGAGCATCCTCACTCCCATGCCACTCCATTTGGTCACAGGGACCAGGGAAATAAATCCTTGTGCAAGCTCCAAACTGCCTGGTCGGAGCATACACAGATTTACAAACTCTTACCCCGACCCTATGCGACAGCCCTAAGGGAATCATGCAGTACCTATCGCTGTCACTTAGGAAAGGGTGAGTGAGTCACATGTTCACCCATACTAGGAATTGCCAGTTATTTATTTGTAGGGCTTAGATTCAGTGTTAGGGTCTATCCATAGACCCTTTTATCTTGGGGCAATGCATGCCAACACACCTCCTCAATGTCCAGCGTGTTGAGGTGCCATTTATTGTGAACAACACACTAGCTCCCAGTACAGTAGAGTGCAACGTACTGCAGCACTCATCACTCATACCCTGCACTGTGGTGTGCTGCATTTTGAAAACCATGAACGTTTTTTTCATCTGTTGTGGTGTGTGGGTAGTTAAACTCACCCAAACCACCAAGCCGGCTTCTCTGGTCACTGAAGCCTCTCTGCCCCTACTCTGCAGCATTGGAATGTTCCTCAGCATCCTCACATCTATACAGTGTACAGATTGTGATGATTTACAGGACCTTACACTGCTGCAGCGGAGGGGGAGAGAGGCTCCATGGACCAATCTTCAATGGTGACAGCAACATTGGCGATAAACTATTTAAAATGAACTCCATTACAAAAACTAGGAGGCCATAACCTAAAATTGGTGGAAAAAAAATTTCAGCACAAGGGGCGAAGGGGGTTCTTCACAGTTAGAGCGGTTAAGGTCTGGAACTCACTGCCACAGGCGCTGATTTCAGCAAAAAACGTGGAATTGTTCAAGAAACTTTTGGACGATTTTTTAAGGGACCGTAATATACAGGGGTACGGGTACTCCTAGAATGAGATCCTTTAGGTTGGACTTGATGGACTAATGTCTTTATTCAACCTCAAATACTATGTAACTATGTAACAGCAAGCTGGCTCCTAGGATCAGGCGAGTATAATTTTTTTTTTAACACCTAGACAAAAACGAGCACTTAACCCTTGCAGCGACGGTGTAGCCCCACTGCAAGGGATAAGAAACAAAACGGCATTAATGCAGCACAAATGAATGCATTCATAAAGCATGCATTAAAGCACCACAAAGGATCAATTTGGTGTGATTGGGCGCTTCCATTTCTGGGTGTGGTATATACCCAAAAAACACATGGTAGATGTTACTTGTGTCAAAAATTTGGGCATTGAATTTTCTGCGGCTAAAACTTCCACAGTCAAAACAATCATGCCAAGCTAATGTACCAGTACTGATTTGGCTCAATGGACTCTTGCTGCCCCAGGTCTAAGTGAGCACTAGGTGGGCATTATGCATGCAAGCCAGCTTCTAGGTGTTAATACTTTAATATGTATGAGGCCATAAGCTAATACACATTTACATTGTGGTCTAACGTCCACACAAAATTACTTACAGCTTCTGAAATTTCAGTATCATCTTCAAACGAATCAGCATTGCTCTCCTCAGCTTGGTATATGGTTACTTGATACACCTAGATTTAGAAAACAGATATTTACTACAAAAAAGAAAAAAAAAAAAGAAAAAAAAACAAAAACAGTATTCTTTTACAGCAGACACCAAAATAACGAAATCTACACTATAAAACAAATGTTCCTTTATACATATTATACATATTCCTTTATACATGGAAATGATTCAACCTTTCCAACATAACTACTTGCAGAAAGAGAAGTAAGCAAGTCTCTTTCCTTTACTAATATAACATGTCAATGTTTCCACATTTCCTTTGGGATTATTGGTGCATTGGTGTGTTAATGAACACTACTTTTGTACTGAGTAACCAAAATAAATAATTATTGTGTTTTCCTTGGAAAATGTACTACATATACGTTACTTGCTCCTGACCACTACACTGTTACATAGTACTAACCTCTCCACTCTGCTTTACATACTACTGACCTCTGAACCCTGTGTTACTTACTCCTGACCTCTGTGCTCTATGTCATATACCTCTGATCCCTGCACTGCACCTTTCATACTACTCACCTGTGAATTTTGCATCGCTTATTGTTATAGTACAGGATTTATATAGCGCCAACAGTTTGCGCAGCGCTTTACAATATAACGCAGACATTACAATCACAATACAATTCAAGACATGATAGACTGAAGGGGGGTAGCCTGTGTAGTGGAAGGCCAATGAGGAGGGAATTGCAATAGGCAGAGGGGAGATAACAAGCGAGTGGATGAGTAGTTTTGCGGTTTCATTGGTGAGGAAGGGGTGTATTTTGGAGATGTTACAAAGGCGGCAGGATTTTGATAGTGATTGGATGTGGGGAAGAAAGGTGAGGTCCGAGTCAAGGATGACACCTAGGACCTTGGCATGGGGGGAGGGCTGGATAGTTGTGTTAACAATCTCAAGGGAAAAGTTGGGGGAAGGTGCACGGGGGGAGGAAATATCATGAGCTCAGTTTTTGAAAGGTTGAGTTTTAAGAAGTGTTGCGACATCCAGACTGATACGTCAGTTAGTAGATTAGTGACACGCAAGGACACTGAGGGGGTGAGTTGTGGAGTAGAAAGATAGATTTGAGTGTCATCGGCATGGAGATGGTATTGGAAGCCATGTAAGGTTAATAACTGACCAAGGGAGGAGGTGTAGATAGAAGAAAAAAAAAGGGGTCCAAGGACAGAGCCTTGGGGGACCCCTACAGAAAGAGGAAGAGGAGGAGTTAGAATTGTAGGTGACACTAAAGGAACGCTTAGATAAGTAGGAAGAGAACCATGATAGAGCAGAATCTTGTAGGCCAAGCGAGTGGAGTTTTTTGAGAAGCAGTGGGTGTTCAATAGTGTCAAAAGCAGCAGAAAGGTCTAATAGCAAGAGTAAGAGCAGTGGCCATTGTTTTTTGCGGTTAGCAAGTCATTAGAGAGTTTTAGGAGGGTGGTTTCAGTGGAGTGTGCAGGGCGAATGCCGGACTGTAAGGGGTCGAGAAGGTTGTTATCGGTGAGGTGGTGGTTCAGACGGTTGTATAAGGCGTTCTAGTAGTTTGGAGGTGAATGGGAGTAAGGAGATGGGTCTGAGATTATTGAGGTTTCTTGGGTCCAGTGAGGGTTTTTTGGGTATTGGGGTGACCAGGGCATGCTTTAGAGGGGAGGGAAAGATTCCAGTAGAGAGGGAAGAGATTGAAAATGTGAGTAAGAGAGTGTAGGATAGAGTAAGAGGGTGACCGAAGTAGTGATGAGCGAACAGGGTCCAGGGGGCAAGTGGTGAGGTGGGTGTCGGAGAGAAGCTTTGTAACCTCCTCTGTGGTGACAGAGTCAAAAGAGCAAAGTAACAAGTCTGATGGAGGGTCTGGTACGTTAATAAGGGAAGTTGATTGGACAGTGGCGATCTGATCCCAAATTAGTGGGTTGAGGCGGTGGAGGACCTAGTAGAGACTTAAAAGGTGGAAAAGAGTTGATGAGGTTTGGATGAGAGTGTGTTAATCACAGTGACAAAATAAGTCTGTTGGCAGCACGGAGGAAGGAATTCTATTTTAGGAGGGTAGCTATATACAGGGTGAAGTCTTGCAGAGACCTAGTTTTCTGCCACAGTCGCTCAAGAGTGCGGCTATGTCTTTTTAGATGTCTGGTTACTTCAAGTTTGCCACGGTTGTAGTGGACGTGGTCTAAGTCTGCGTGTAGTGAGGAGAGCCAAGGTATCTAGGGAGGATGGGAGCAAACTGTTGAAGACAGAAGTAGCAAGGCCAGGGGTGAGATTTTGTTATAGAGGTAGTCAGTAGCAGAGTACAGAAGAGTTGGGTCGAGGTGGTGGAGGTTTCTCCGGGTGACAGTGGGCCGTGTAGGGGGATTTAGGGTTGGGGAAAGGGTGAGTGTGAAACTGACAAGGTTGTGGTCTGAGAGGGGGAAAGGGGTGCATAGGTAAGAGAACACAAGATCAAGTATGTTACCCTCAGAGTGAGTAGAAGTGCGTGCCCATTGTGCGAGTCCAGTGGCTGCAGTTGAGATGCTGGGCTGCTAAAATAGTGATGATCTGCAGTGGCTGCAGTTGAGATGCTGGGCTGCTAAAAAAGTGATGATCTACAGTGGTTGCAGATGGGATGATGGGCTGCTAAAATAGTCTATCTGCTTGCAGAGGTGAGGAAGAAAAAAAGTTGGGGGAAAAATGGGTTTATTTGAAGTACAAAATAAGGGATAAGGCCAATTACCATGAGCTGAATGTATGGTTAGAAAGACATGAAGCAGATGATGCCCATTACTTAGCTTAGTCTTGTGCCTTCTTTGCATACTACTGAACTCTGAACGCTACATTACTCCTGAACGCTGCACTGTGCATTACATACTACTGATCTCTGCATTACTAAGTAATGAACTCTGCGTTACTCCTTACCACTGACTGTGTGTTACATACTATAGATCTCGAAATTGTGCATCCTTACTCCTGACCCCGTGTTACTTTTAAGTAACACACACATACACTCTTGATCTTCTCCACCTCTACAAGGTTGCCTACCCCTGCTGTATTGAATTTACCATAAATATGGAGAACGAAACTAGGCAGTGACAGTTCAGTTCTGGCAAAAACGTGACTTGCCATAGCCATGCTGGAGAGGCGGAAAAAAAAAGTACCTGCTGGAGTTTCAAATAGCAATATACACAAGGGAACAAACTGAACCCTGTCCACATCTACCCAAAGTGGAGAAAGTGATTGCTATTGATAAAAGAAATGCAGCTATAAATCTAAAGAAGGAGCAGAATACAAAACTTTCTGCCAGTAACGTAATTATTTTCGACCGTAGTGTATACCATCCCAGCCTTCCCATACCACAATCAAGCAGTAAAGTCATGTATGGGCATGTATATTTTACATTGTTACTAATACACAAGTGTAGTAACAGTTTCTGTTAAAATGTGTTCTAGTTTCCTACCTTGAAGACAATTAGTCTTGTAGATTGGATCTGTTGATGGCAATCTGTGAGCTCAGTGTGTGTGGGAACTGACAAGCTGTTTGGCATGCTTTTCTGCCTTCCCACTCACATCTGAACAGATGACATTAGATTTGGAGCAATGAAGACGAGGGGCCACTCACTAAAATGCACAAGCATTTTAACATGCATATCAGTGATATCAGAAGTTGCTGATCATCTTCAGTACCCAAAATGTAACAAAAGACCAGGCTTACAGCAGCCTATGTAAGTAAGAGAGGAAATACTGCAATGAAGGCATGACGATTGGGTGTGTTTAAATACATAATAGACAAAAAATGATGACATTTCTCAGAAATCACAATGCCTTCACACACAATATATGCAATCATCTACCTTCATTCAGATTCATGTTTTTGTTAGCACAATAAGAGTTCCCTAACAAATGCAACAATGTCATTAGAGCCCCGCCTACATATAAATAGGTCTTTGGAAAGGTACCCAACGCTTCCTACCATAAAAGTGCCTTAGCAGAGATGATTGTTAAAAATATTGTTATCCCTAAATGCTGAGAGGTAGCATTTTAATAAGGGATTAAATATCACCAAATACATTTTTTTATCATTTGAGACAGCATTCAGCGTTGAGCACCACACCAATATAAAAAAAACACCAATTAGCATAGCCAAGTATTTAAAAAAAAAAAAAGAAGTAATTTCATGTATATTTTAATGAAATAGGGCAAGTGCCTAAATTTGCCTTCATATTAGCCATTTAATAATCTGTATGGCAGGTCTCACAATGGTAGAGGGAGGGACTGCACACTAAGCCAATAAGACTCTGCTCATGTTCATGTGCCGAAAGAAAGGCATGACTTTAGATTTAGCTGTGCTGTTGCAGTGGAGGTCAACAATGTGGTTGAACTGTATGGTAGGGGTGCCTGGAACATAGAATTTAAAATCCTTTGGTAGGAAAAATAGTTTTCATGTGGTTCAGCTTTGACCACACGATTTTTTCCAGTGGTGTATTGTTTGAGTAGTAGTCTTGTTTTCTTCTGCTGCCCATGTTTAAACAGCCATAGCATACATTGTTTAGCAACAAGAGTGAACAACTTCTACAATCCTGCTTACTCCTAGCTCAAAGGATAATATACACTCTTTGATTAAACTATAAGAAAATACATTCACATTTTGTGCGAAGGACATTTTTCAAGCTGATGCTTGCACCCAACTTAATGTCATAGTCTTACCTCATCATCTAAATCATCATCAGCATCTGAAAGCGCCTGTTCATCTCCACTCGGGGCGTAATCATCCGAATATACAGATTCTACTTCAAATTCCACGCTGAACTGGTCAGAGTCAGAATCTTGGTCTAGCCAATCAGGATCTGAATGTGCAGGATGATCCTAAAGAAGCAGAGAAAGTAGAAGGAACTATGAAATACTTAACAGTAGCTATGTGACAAAAATGGTGTCTGTAGTCTGACAAGAGCGGCCTAATCTGACACAGGCTGGGATTACTGGCAGTGTTCAAGTCCAGACATCCAATGAATGCTGCAAAATATAATTACTTAGCATTGCATACATTCACAAAGAAAATAAATGTTCGGATCAACAGCCAGAAACACTGTTCTATTAAAAGCAACACATTAGTAATTATAGTCTTATATTATGTTGAGCACTTAGGGCAGGGGTTAACACATTAATATGGAATTCATGATGTTCAAGCCTGTCCAATTTAGGAGCCAGCAGGATTTTATTTAGAAGTCAGCTCCATTGACAACAACTAGTGAAAACCTCCAAAGTTGGGATCAGCTGTAATATTTAGTGAGCACTGGCTACCTGGGATTTAATGACTGCATAAACAAATCCTAACGTCCTGCAATATTGACTGACCTTAATGGCTGCATCCTACATCACGTAGGATCATGGCAAATTGACTTTTTATATGTTGGTATGTGCAATTAGCAATGTCTGCAAACCGCTCCCTAGAATCAGAAGCTAAACTAAGTGTGTAATATTAATGACTCATACCGATTTAGTCCCATTTAGTGTTACAGATCTGTCTCACCTTCCATCTAGCTTTTGATAATGTCCAACAGGAGTCATACTACCTTACAGCTTTCTACGGTAGTAAAGGTGCCGCTCTCACTTTTTAACATAGTGTGGGTACTTTCAAAGTTCTAAAAACCAAGTTGACATCTTATGGATATGGCGGCAAACAAAATGATTTTGCTGTTGCTACAAATCGGTATGACTTATGGCTTTCATACACAAAGACTAAATGACGTATCTTTCACAGATGCAACATCCTGCCTGATGCTACACACATTCCAAAATGTAGAGTGTCTGTATTTACTTCAATGGTACCCACAGGCTGTAATGCACATGAAGCAAAGTGTGCCTCGTGTACTCTGTCCTGTGTTTAACCCTAAAGTAAACGCATGCTAAAGACACACAGTACAGCTCACTGAAGCAGCACTATACAGAACAAACCATCAGTAAAATAGGCATCCAATATCCTATGTATAATGTCCCCTAAACACAGGTGAAAGAACGTTTATCAAAAGAATCTTTATTTTCCAGAACAACCAATGTTCATGGCTGACCAATGAAATCTGTACACCATTTTTCTATTTAGACCTAACCTTTCATGTAAATGCTTATTCTGTACTCTATTGGCACATCACAATAAACATGCAGACCAAAACAAACAGCAAAATTCAAACAGAATGGTAACACTCAACCTGCTACTTTTGTTGTTATATAGTGTCTGTCTATTCAGCCCATATCCAAACAAAACCCAAACCAGACAACGTAGAATAGAATTTACCTTAAAGGCAACAGAGAAGGATTTTCTGCATGGGGATACCTGAAGTCACCTGGATGACACAGACTGACAGCACTTAACTTAGGCTGGGTTCACACCTAGGCGTATTGAATATGCGAGTTTGTCGCGCGTTTTTACCGCGATTCGCTGTAAAAAAAAAACACGTGACAAACACGCATTTCCGTGGGCTACTTGGCTGTATCCCAATGGAAACGTGAGACCAAAACGCCCCAAAGAAGTACATGTACTTCTTTGGGCGTAGGCCGTTTTGTATCGCGTTCGGACGGGCGGAAATACGGCACGGTGTGAACCAGACCCATTGAATACAATGGGATTTAGATGTTTGAGCGTTTTGTAGAGCGTTCGTCAAGCGTTGAATACGCTATAAAACGTTCAGGTGTGAACCAGGCCTTACAGTGCTCTCAGTCTGACACCCCTGCTGAAAAAAATACAAATCTCTCACACAATTTGTTGTTAGTCAATAACCTTACTTACAGCATTAGAAGAGGCATCTGTTGAATCACTGTTATTTCTATCACACCGTAAGCCACTTATCACCCACCACGAAAGGCTTTCATCAAAGGTTAATGAAATACTGTCTGACTTATGGCGCCTTCTCTGTTGTTCTGCTGGTTGTTCATTTGAAGAATTTTCTTCTAAGCAAAGTAAAAAAAAAAAAAGAAAACTTAGAAATCTTACTCAATAACTGCTTATACAATGGCTAAAAACTCTTGGCAGGAATGTCAAGTCCAATGTGGCACCACAGTATCAGAGACTGAAGGTTCCTTACCAGAGTCACTGTTGCCTTTCTTTGAACACGATGCAGTGGCAGCTGAGTTTAACTTCTCTTGCAGTTCAGGAGAGGACACCTAGATGTGACACAGACATAGTCCATGAACTGACAACAGAACCATTTGAGTGGAATAAAAAGCTCACTTTCACAAATTGCAGATCTCTAACGAGAGGGCTGGAGACTAAGCTTTTTATTCCAATAAACAGGTAAAGTATGCAGCTTTATTAACAGAACCTTTCTTACATAAGAAAGTCTCCACAAATTACAGAAGATAGCCTGTTTAGATGGTGCACCCACCTGCTGAGAGCTCTGTGTTTCTAAAGTACACTTGTCTTTGCCATACAATAGGTCTCCCAAGGACTCTAAAAGGAAAAATACAACCTGGTTATACACAGATCATTGGTACATATACACAAAGAAATGAAAGCTATAAACTTTCATCATTCTGTATAACAATGTAAATTACAATCCTTTGGAAATAGTTCTGAGCTCTTCTAAAGATAAGATGGATACAAGAGATGCTTTAAAAGGAGAACTATGGGGTCAGTGTTTTTCCCCATAGTTCTCCTTGGGGTAACGGGAGGACACAAACTAGCGTCCTCCCGTTACCCTAAGCTCAGTATAGTATACTGAGACGCCGCACCTGGAGCGGATCCCGACTTAGATGACGGGATCCGCCCAGCTGCGTGAGTGACAGATGGCTCTGCCTATCTAGAGGCAGAGCCAGCTGTACCCGCCCCCTCCCCCGTCCGTTCCGCCAGTCAGCGCTGGCAGATCGGAGCGGGGAGGAGGGAATCCAGCCCCTCCCCCTGTCACGGCAGAGAGCCGTGACAGGATCGAGAGGTGAGGGAACCCGGTATGTGTTCGCTCACCTCCCGATCTACTGAGCCGACCTGTGACAGTCTCATTGTCACAGGTCGGCTTAGAACTATGAGGTGAGTGGAAATCACTCATCTCATAGTTCTCCTTTAAGTATACAAAAGAGATGCACTGCATTTCTTATGTTTTTTAACCCTTTTATGATCAGAGGTCATGGAAGCCTAGATCAAATTTAGGAGAGAGAAAGGAGAGAGTAGAGAGGAGAGAGAGAGAATTTAAAGTGACACTAAACTCAGGAGTTACATCTTAAAAATCCATTCAAGTACCCTAAGAGGGATGTGGAATTTTTGTTTTAAAACGACTTTTTCAAGGACTAAAATGGGGGCCCAATCTACTTTTCCCTCATGACAATCTACTTGTCCTCATAAAAAAGGAATTTTAACCAAAACTGTATTTAACTGTGCTAAGAAACGTTTCTTATTGGTCAGCGTGGTATTAACAAAAATGTAGCTTATTTGTGTATCACTCGGCTGTAGATCCTCAAATCATCTCTGAATTGGTGCTGACACTGTCCTTCCTTCTGGAGGGTGTATACTTTTGCTCCCCATGGTCCCTGTGTGTATTGTAAAGTAGCCACCGCTCCAAGCTCCTGTGATGAACTACAATCTCAAAACAAATTAGCTAACTAAAATGTGAGATTGTAGTCTATCACAGGAGTGAGCTTGGAGCAGTGGCTACATTACAACGCACACAGGGACCATGGGGAACAAAAGTAGCCACCCTCCAGAAGGAAGGACAGTGTCAGCACCAATTCAGAGATGATTTGAGGATCCACAGCTGAGTTATGCACAAACAAGATTTAATCGTCGGGTCTTTTCTGCCCGTGCGTGCCCGCTAGGGGGCGCGCGAGCAGAAAATAATTGCCGTCTGGAGACGGCAACCCGCAAATGCAGCAGTGCCGTCCGTTTTTTTACTACGGGCGGACGGCAAGAGGTTAAACAAAGGAACACTGCCAATGGCAGGCTGAAGGTATTTGTGAGCAAAGATTTGAGTCTGCAGGTCATCACTATCACTACTATGGAATATGTTATAGTTGACACAGTACTTCCATAATTGCATACGTTAGTGGGGACAGGAGATCAGTGACACCCTGGTCTGACAGGTAGGAGCTGTGCACAGTTATAGCTGCTACCTGCCGAAGGAGAAAAGTAGATGAATGAAACCTCAACACAGGACATTGTGCAGGGAAATGTTAATCTACAGATGAGAAAGTACAGGAAAAAGATTTCAAGTGCATGTAAACACAATTTAAAACAAAAATAAAACTATAGCTAAACAGTGCCTTGCACAAGTATTCAGACCTTTAACCAACTACTTTACCCATTTTATTCAAAAGTTGTTATTTAATGCTTTAAAGAAAAATATTTTTGTGGCATTTTATATTAGTCTAAAAAGAAAGAAAATCAATATTTAATTTAAACAATAAAATTTTTAAATAAGAAAAGATTTGGGACGCAGTGGTTTGGTTTACACCAGCTTTTTTATACTGCCTGGCAGACATGTTGGCCCATTCTTCCAGGCAGATTTGTTCCAGGTTGTTAGTCTAAGGCCTGGTTCACACCTGAACGTTTTGTAGCGCGTTCAACGCTCGACGAACGCTCTACAAAACGCTCAAACCTCTAAATCCCATTGTAATCAATGGGTCTGGTTCACACCTTGCCGTATTTCCGCCTGTCCGAACGTGATACAAAACGGCCTACGCCCAAAGAAGTACATGTACTTCTTTGGGGCGTTTTGGTCTCGCGTTTCCATTGGGATATGCTCTACTTTACATCTATTTTTGCCCCAGTATACACTGAGTGGCCAGATTATTATGACCACCTGACGTTTGTAGGCAAATTAGCTATAATTTCACGCTGAAGTTGCTAGAGGGCCAGACCATTATAAATAGGGAAGCAGGTTGTTTACCATGACAGTAGAAGTGATTTTTTTCTGAAGATATGGGTAAACAACGCAATTTAACAGCCTTTGAACGTGGGATGATTGTTGGCGCTCGGAGCCATGGAGCGAGTATCAGCAAAACAGCAGAATTTGTTAAATGTTCAAGAGGGGCTCATTGTTAAAGTGTTTAAAGACTGGACTGTCAGCCGAAAATCTGGGTCTGAACGTGCGAATTGTGGCCGTCAGCGACTAGTCAATGTTAGGGCAGAATGGAGAGTGGCAAGACTGGTACAAGACAACAGAAGGGCAACAGTGCAGTGTCAGATTCCTCGCATCACCTTTCAACATCTCGTGGAGTCACGAGGCGGCTCAATGAAATAATCTCGAGGTCCAACGAAGTACTGATGGGGTGGTCATAATAATTTGGCCACTCAGTGTATATTAATAAAATTTAAAAAAAACTAATGGTTTTGGGTCAGTTTTAGTAATAATTTTTTTTATAGCTTTTTTTAATTCCACTGTGTGAATTTTGGCTGGTTCCTGAAGAACTGCCCAAAATTTGCAAAGTGTATGGCCATCTTCATAAAGAGAAAGGGAACAGCAGGACGTCAGCCTTTGACATCACATGCTACACACCCATAGGCCAGCCAGTTGCTCATGCCAGGACAGGACACAGTACGATGATATGCAAAGAGGAGCACTCTCCGCCCCCCACCCCAATAATACAACGCTGAATAGCGGTCACATGGCTATTTGTTAATGTACACTTTAAAATACCTTGCCTCACAACTTTATTTCAGTTTTCTATAAAACACAGAAAGAACGGAATATTAGAAGTGAATACATTTCAATAACTTACCTTGTGACTCAGCAGTTATTAGATTTTTCGAAATCATTGCATACAGCCTCCTAAGGGAAGAAAGTGAGAAATCCCATTTTAGTTACGTACATTTTAGACCACCGTCTGTTGTGTTACATTCTTATATCTGCACATGTATGTAATATTTGTTCTGTAGATCTAGGTTTACAATATGGAGATATATCATGTAATGACATCTCAGACTTAATCACAAATCTGATTTTTAAGAAAAATTGACAAAAAGCATCCACTTGGCAAAAATACTTTATTCTATAACTTGCTCCATTTCTCTGTACAAGCTTTTAAATGATCAAATGTGCAATAGGAAAAACTTTAAAATGCAATTTAGTGCTAGTGGAAACTGTAGGCACAAATAACTGAAGCTTAATAAACAAAATGACTAAAGAATTAAATGTATATGAAGAACAGTCCCTGTTACCTGTAGCAATCAGATTTTCCCTATCACAATATGTATGGCACAGGGAATTGAATTGGTTGCTATGGACAAAAATAACTCTTTCTTCAGACACTTTAAGCATCAGCCCTGACAAATGTGTACATCTTTCCATGCGTTTGTAAAAGTCAGGTGTTATAGAGGAATAAAAGAACAAGAGAGGTAATTCATATTAATTCAAAATTAGAGTATTCCACTGTCTTGCCTTACAAAATTGAATGTGGAAGAAAAGGTAGAGGCAAGACTTCGGTTTATTTGCTTACAAAAATGTGTTAGGAGAAATGTGAGAGGCACCAACAGCTGTCATTCTGGAAATGCCAATTTGACTTTTGCAATGATATATTGGTATCAATACCTTCCAAGTTATTAATACGGGGGAAAATGCATATCAGGAGTTCTGAATTCCTGCTGATTTTCAAGGCTGCATTCTGGTTCAGTTGGGGATTGTGAAGACTGAGGTAGCTTGAATTATCAGAAGGTCAGAAAGGTAGTCTACAAACAGTCATGGCTAAAAATATATTGCCCCCCTGTATTGTCAGGTAATGCACCACTTTGAGCAGAAAATTGTTGCAATTACAAATGTTTAGGCATTCTTATGTTTATTTCTTTTGTTTGTATTGGTATGACACAAAAAGTGGAGGAAAAATTCCACTCAAAACTCCGAAAACATCCACATGAAATGGCAGGACCCAAGGTTTCCCAGCAGAACATTGCCCAAAGCATCACACTGCCTCCATCGGCTTGTCTTCTTCCCACAGCACATCCTGGGGCCATTTCTTCCCCAGGAGCAGCACACACGCACCCACATGATGTAAAAGAAAAAGTGATTTATCTGACCAAGCCACCTTCTCCTACTATTCCTTGGTCCTATTCTGATGCTCATGTGCCCATTGTAGGCGCTTTTGGTGGTTGACACGGGTAAGCCTGGGCATCAAGACCAGTCTGAGGCTACGCAGCCTCATACGCAACAAACTGCGATGCATTGTGTGTGCTGTATTGTCTCACAATCGTTTTCTGAAAGGCAAGCATCCATTTGGCCCAAATAACCCTAAATATTCTCCCTCACTGATTGCTACGGGCAACATAATGACTTTTCAGACATATCGGATATATAAAAGGAGTCAAACAGGACTATTTTTGTCAAAGTGACTTTGTGTAAATGTCTACCAATAATTATTGAATGATCTCTAAACATTATGTAATATCTGAGGATACATAAATAAAACATTGGTCCAGGATTGTTTACTTACCTTGGTCTCTTCACTTCACCAATTTCCCATAACACATAGCAGTCACTGTGCACACAGCCACAGGGGCACTGGTATAGCCTTTCTGATAGTAAATGTGCATCCATGTTATTCTGCTCACCTAATCAGTTTGTACAATCTCCATTAGATTTACCAAAAACTAGGTTGCGAGGGCCTTCCTTAATGGATGTAAATTTAATGGACTGTTTGGTCGGCTTCACACCTATCCAAAGCATTAACATGCAGTAAACCATACTGTTCTGTGCAGCATTGTGAATGGCACCCCAATGCACAAATACAGTTACAGGGTGACAGACATGTGTTTCAATGTACTAATAATATGCTGCAGCTCCAGTTTTTCCTGCATTGCAAAAATGAATGGGTTGCCTTAATATAATGCACCAGAACATTGAGGTGCGAAAAGAGCCTTCGTGTAGGTCCTGCACTAGACAGTTGATAATAAACCTAATGGAGGCTGTATGATCATATCTTAACATTTTTGACCAACTGTGGACTGATAGTCATGAAGCAGAAAGCCCAGTACTATAATATCTGCAAGTAACAAACTTGCCAGTTGGTCAAACCGGATTTTGCACAAAGCTCAGCTTTTGTTCAGCATGCACTGATAAGCGCAGTGGCTCCTAGACTTGACGTTTGCTCAGTAACATGCAAAGTTGTAATCAAGTCCGGTGCGACCCACTGTATATATTTACTTACAAAACAAAAACAACACACGCTGGACCTTAAATATCAAAATGTCTCAAGATAATAAGTTTATATCAACAATAGCAACCAAAATATCTCGTGTATATCCCCATTTTGTTTAGGAGGGGCTAAAGCTGGCTATACATCTATAGATTCCCCCCCCCCATTCGGCTTTCAGGCTGAATAAAAAAAAAAAAAAATCAAACAGATTCCTCCAACCAGGCTAAACAGCGTGGATAGATGAATTTACCACTGCAGCTATTTTAATTTTGACAGTCGGCCCCGCTGGCTGTCAAAATACTTAATAGTGTCTGCATCTGACTAAATGAAAGCGCTGTTCATCCGACAATTTTCTGCAGACACCAATTGAGCAATTTTCACCTTTTGCCTGATTCAAGAACTGTCTGATATTTGCTCAGTGCATGGCCAGCTTAAAATGACATTAAACTCAGGAGTTAAAACCTCAAGAATGCATTTAAGTACCTTAACTATTAACAAAAATGTATGTTATATGTGTATCACCGCTCCCAGCTCACCCCCTTGCTGGGCTACAATCCTAATATAAATTAGTAAACTAAACGTGAGATTATAGCAGGGATGCACCGATACTAGTATCGTTGCCGATACCAAGTATTTGGACGAGTACCCGTAATCGCCCAAATGCTCCCGATATACGAACTTCTGGTATCAGGAAGCCGGGCGGCGAGTCATTACATGTCGCCTGGCTTCCCGATTGGCTGGAAGTCGGCTCAATGCTCTCTCGTCACCAGCTGGCTTTCTGGTTAATCATTACACGCCGCCCCGCTTCCTTAATTGGACTTTCGGTATCAGTACTCTGTATTGGCAAATACCGAAAAAACAATAACGGTATTTGATATAAAAAAAACGGTATCGGCAACTAGATTATAGGCCATCACAGGAGCGAGCTTGGAGTTGTGGCTACTTTACAAGACACACAGGGACCATAGGGAACAAAAGTAGCCACCCTCCAGAAGGAAGGACAGCGTCAGCACAAATTCAGAGATAATTTGAGGTTCTACAGTTGAGCGATACACAAATAAGGTACATTTGTGTTAATAATTAAGGTGCACGATTGCATTTTTTAGATTTAACTTCTGAGTTTAGTGTGGCTTTAACGTAGGTTGCATTTCTTTCCTTCAGACACTGTGATATACAAGGACTGTAAAAGAGAGAGAGAGAAAGAAAGAGTACTTTGAGGAAATGAGATTAGAAGATTTTCGCAAGGTCAGCCATTTGTTTTAATGAATAGTATGCTAGAGGTTGAAAGGCAATGAAAGGAAGGTGAGAGAATAGAATGAAGGCAGAAAACTTTTTGCATGTCAAAATCAATGTGCAACAGAGCTGGCAAGCTTGAATAGAGCAGAATGATATTTTGTGTCTTGAACCAGCATTAATTAAAAAACAAAAGACAGATATGGTTTTATATAAGGAGAGAAAAAGAAGAAGCAGGATTTAAATAATAAAAAAAAGAAGCAGGAATGAAAGCTTTGTTTGCATGTTGCAACTGATATACAGAACACATCCTGCAAGAATGCCACAAAGTCACACTCTTACATACACACTGTATTTATTATTACCTTGGTTCTTTTACAGAGAAGTTCTGTACCCCAAATAGTTCTCCCAGAGGATCATTAGAGCAGTGGACAATATGCTGTTGCTTCTCGTCATACAACTGCTTGGCCATAATGTACTGACCAAGATGGTAAATAACCTACAGCGCAAGTATGAAGACAATGTAATGAACTATATTATATCATAAAACAAAGCACTGCTAAAAATGACTGCATAAGATCTTACTCAAAGCGCATAGTCTGCCCACCTCTTTCATTGTAAAGGTATCCTTCTGGGCACCAGCAGATTTTAACAGATGCAACAGAAGTGGATTTGGTTTAACCTGAAATATTAACCAGTTGTAAGAAACAGTCTTAACAACAAAACAGAGCTAAAAAAAAACAAAAAAAAACGGGTATAAAAAAAAGGTATAAACTTACCAGTGTTTCTTTGTCTGACCCCATGATAGAAGAATTTTCTATACAATCTGCATTTGTAGATGATGCATTCATATTGCACGTTTGCCTGAAATGAAAAAGGATTCTCTATAAGTACAGGTATACTTGTATTGCATGCCTGCCTGTAATGTAAAGCATGATCTCTGGAAGTGTAAATATTGCACATTTGCCTGTAATGAAAAGTGGGATCTCTATAAGAACAAGTATATTTATATTGCATGTTTGCCTGTAATCAAAAGCATAACCTATATAACTACATTTATATTGTCTGTCTAAAAAGAGGGATGTCTAGAAGAACAAGTCCATTTCTATCACATGTTTGCCTGTATAAAAAGTGTCATCTTTATTAGAACAAGTACATTGATATTGCACATTTGCCTGAAATGAAAAGCTATACAAGAACAAGTATATTTATAATGTATGTTTGCCTGTAATGAAAGGCATTATCTCTATCAGTACAAGTGCATTTATAATGCATGTTTCCTTGTATAAGTAAAGGAATCAGTGCATTTATATTGCACGATTGCCTAGAACAAAAAGTGGATTCTGTCTAGTAACAAGGACATTCATAGTGCATGATTGCCTGTATTGACAAGTGGGATCTGTACAAGAACAGATGTAAACAAATGTAAAAGAAGGAATAATAGGAAGGTGACAGTTCAGCATCAGGTAGATGAGAGGAAACACATAGAGAACAGCAGGATTCAGCTATTCTTACCTCGAATATGTAAAGTGCTGTGGTGCAGGAGCTGGGCTCCCTATATAAAGTGCTGTGTGGAGCAGTCGATGTGCATTTATTGGTGCGAGTGCAGACAAGTCAGGGCTAGATCCCTGGCACACACAGTGCATGTCTGAGCATGATCCGCTGACTCACCACCTGTGCTCTGCTCATCAACACGACTGACCGGCCTGACAGGCTCCCATCATGGTCACCATTACCACACAGATCCGGATGGGGGGGGGGTTACTACCATTACTCAGCTACATACATGACACGCATGTCCCACCCTCAGTTGATACTCATGACGACACCAGTCTGGCTCCCACTAACAATGAGTCGTCGCACGAAAGTGCACACTGATGCCCGGACATGTCCCGTCCATAGGTCTCCTCACACCAATGTGCACACATAACTCGGCGAACACAAAGGCACGCGAACAATAGAGAAATGCCCGTGCACGGCCACACACTCCCTTCCCCCCTACTCCAGCCCTGCTCCTACAGGCCGCACAGGCCTCCTCCACCGCTGGACACCAGCAAACGTACGTACCGGACAGTACAAACCCACCTCATCTCGCCGAGGCCTTCGCCTTCCTCCATTCTGTTTGGTAAAGGTTTAATTCTCCGTGTTTACCATGTAAAATGATGAAATCGCTCCAGAGCCGATACACACAGCCAGGCCTATCCAGCGCAGCGCGGCATCCCAGGAGCTCCCCCCATCGGGAGACACAAGCGTAACACGTAACCTCTCCCTCCCTGAGTGACACGTCTGGTTTATCGCTTCTCCTTTACACATTGGAGAGGATAAAAGTTTCTGAAATAAACTTTGTCTGAACTGGGACGCAGCTAATCGGCTGTTATCTTTTCATTTTATAAGCTGGGGGGGTGAAAGATAGAAGCTGTTTGGCTGCTATGCGCAACAGCATCAGGTTGAGATAGAATCTCTACCTCAGATCATGTCCAGACCAGAACAGTTTGTTTCCAGACCAAAACAGTATCCCTATGGTATCTCTGGGCTCCATTCACACCATTGCAGTCCGTTCAGGTCCAAGCAAAATATATATATATATATATATATTGCTTCTCATTTTCCCTGGTCTGGAATGCACTGGAACTTATGGAAACGCATCAAAAATGCATACAAGCACACTGGAACACACCTAAAAGCCCATTTTAAGCTTAAAAAAAAGTGACAGAAATGCACTGGACTGCGTTTGCAGATCTGCTCCGGATCTGTTTCAGACATGGTGTGAACATAGCCCAAAGCTCACCACACATGTCACAATCTGATAATACAATCAATTTTATGTCGGTTTATGGTGAATCAGATGTAAACAGACATGTGTCCGTTTACATCAGATTACATCCCCGATCTGGCACGATCAGGTCCGATGAAATTGAACCCCGTTCCGTTTGTTTTTCTGGACCTAGCTGGAGCTGGGGGCAACCAGATGTAAGTGGACACCCGTCCGTTTGATCCAGCTGCCCATAGATTTACATTGGGCATCCAATTGGGTCTTCCTGAAAAACTGACAGGCGGATCTGATTGGACAGCCTGTGTGACTAACTGGTGGGTATAAGGTCTGCTTCACACCATCTGCATTCAGGCTGCGCTGGCTGTTTATTACAGAGAAGCCCGAACAATTTCAGAATTACATTATTTTTTTTCTTAAAATGGTACATTTCCTCAGTTTAAACATTTATTAAGTTATCTATTTTCCATTGTAAATAACGTATGGGTTACTGAGATTTGCAAATCATTACATTCTGTTTTTATGTATTTTACACAGCATCCCAACTTTTGTGCAATTGGGGTTGTACATAAAATTGATTTTTTCAAGTAAGCTTTGATTTGCATTATCAGAAACAACTAGAATATGTATTCCTATTACAATGCTGTATAACAGGATAGTATCTGCTCTGAGTTTAGAACTTAAAGGAGAACTATGAGGTGAGTGATTTACACTAAACCTCATAGTTCGAGCCGACTTGTGACAATGAAACTGTTACATGGCGACTCTATAGATCGGGAGGTGAGTGATCATCTTCCCGATCATCTCCCTGCAGAGATCGGTGACTCTCCCAATCACCGCTCCCCACAGGGATTCCCCCCCTCCCCTCTCTGATCCTCCAGCGCTGACTGGGGGAATGGATAGGGGAGGGGGCGGGTACAGCTAGCTCTGCCTCTAGATAGACAGAGCCCGCTGTCACTCACGCACCTGGGTGGAGCTCAACAGTATTGTCGGGATCCGTCCCAGCTGCGGTGCTGTCTGTATATAGTGGGCAATAGCTCACTATATTCTGAGCTTTGGGTCATGGTAGGAGGTTAGTATATGTCCGCCTGTGCCCCTAAAGAGAACTATGGCATAAACATGTTACCCCATAGTTCTCTTTTAATGTAAAGTTAATGTATTCAGAGATAGCTTCATTGTCATTACCACCAATTGAAATGAATACTTTCCAGGCATTCTAAATTTAAGAGACACTGCCACTGTGCCCGTGCAGGGCAAAGATTGGTGCTATACAGGGGGGAAACTGTATGTATGCATTTGGAGGTGCCTAGACTGATTGCAGGCAGCAATTGTCTGTGCCAAAATATGTTGCACCATATGTTCTTCATTTGTATCAATAAGTGGAATCATATGTGTGTAGAGAAGTACCTCACCACAGTGAGAATATACTATCTGGAAAAACCTCCGCAAGATTTGTTCACTAGGGATGAGGTTTGGATTTGTTGCTACTTTGGGTTCACAGCAAATCCCTCGAGTTTGAGATTTGAAGTCCTGACCAATTTATGTGCAAATTCCCTGGGGCAAATTTATTCTTACACCATAATCAGGGGTGTATCCACCGCAAGGCAAACAAGGCTTTTACCTTGGGTGACACTTTCCAGGGGGGTGGCAAAAAATGTTGCCCACAAACCAGTGATGCTCAGGGTTGGACTGACCATCGGGCAAATGGGGCACTTGCCTGGTGGGTCAAGTAGAGCAAGCCTGCACGAAATCAGGCAGTGGCTGCCCATCAGGCAAATTAGGCAGCCGCAAGGCTCCATGAGATCACTTAAAGGAGAACTATGGGGTAAGTGTTTTTCACCATAGTTCTCCTTAGGGTCACGGGAGGACATAAACTAGCATCCTCCCGTGACCCAAAGCTCAGTATACCGTGAGCTACAGCTCGCGGTATACTGAGACCGCTGCAGCCGGGACGGATCCCGACATTACTGTCGAGATCCACCCAGCCGCGGGATTGACAGCTGGCTCTGCCTATCTAGAGGCAAAGCCAGCTGTACCCGCTCCCTCCCCCGTTTGTTCCTCCAGTCAGCGCTGGAGGATCGGACAGGGGAGGAATCCCTGCAGTGAGTGACAGTCACGGCTCTCTGCAGGGACAGGATCGAGAAGTGAGCGAGCAATGGTATGTGTTCGCTCACTTCCCGATCAGTTTCATTGTCACACGTCGGCTCGAACTATGAGGATGAGTGAAAATCACTCACCTCATAGTTCTCCTTTAATTAGAGAGCTGCCCAGTGGAGGGTCTAAGTGAGATGAGGTCCGGTCGGCAGCGGGGAACTCGGGGCTGACATAAGATCTGACCCCAGGATGTCCTGGAGACAGGCTAGGCACTTTGGGATGCAGGTAAGAGAAGCAGCACATATGTGCAGGGAAAGAGACCCCGCACAGCCCACCTGAGATGATGGCAGAAGGCACTCGCTCAATGCTTCCCAGCCTATCAGCATTGAGCCGGCCAAACAGCATGGAGCCGGCTTAACCGACCAATGAGGAAGCTGGGAGGTGGGTCATTACCTGCCGCCTGGCTTCCTGATTGGCCAGTAAGCCGGCTCCATGTTCCCTCTCAGCACTGCCGGTCAGAGAAAATCTCTCTCTGACCGGAAGTTCCGGTATCGGGGGTAAGTATCAGAACACTTCTGCTCGCCATATCTCTCATTACCTCCTCCCATGCTCGCCTTCAGTATGTCTCCAGAGCATCTCCCATCCTCTGGAACTCCCTTCCACAATCTGTCTGCTTGCCTCCTACTCGGTCCACCTTTAGGCTGCATTCACACCTAGGCAACAACGTTTACGCTCATTACTATGAGATGCTGGGTCATTACCCGCCGCCTGGCTAGTAAGCCGGCTCCATGTTCCCTCTCAGCACTGCCGGTCAGAGAAAATCTCTCTCTGACCGGAAGTTCCGGTATCGGGGGTAAGTATCAGAACACTCCTGCTCTCCATCTCTCTCATCACCTCCTCCCATGCTCGCCTTCAGTATGTCTCCAGAGCATCTCCCATCCTCTGGAACTCCCTTCCACAATCTGTCTGCTTGCCTCCTATTCGCTCCACCTTTAGGCTGCATTCACACCTAGGCGACAACGTTTATGCTCATTTCTATGAGATGCTAGACCAATCACCCTTTGAGGTCCTGCAGAGCCTAGTGTTAAAAGCATCCATTTATCTGGCATTCTATGGGTTTCTCAGACCAGGTGAGTTCACTTGCTCCGGACCCAAATCCCTACCCTTACTCAAGAAACATTTGAAATGGTTTCCTAATTATTACCGGTTATCTCCAGAACGTTGCAAGGTAAACCAGGTGGGTGCTCCTACAGAAATTAAGTTCTTCCCCTCCGGCAACGCCTGGTGTCCGGTTGCTGTATTGGATAATCTGATGTCCCGACTCTCCCGGTTGACACCAGATAGTCCATTGTTACCTTGTCCAAATACACCACTCACAGCAACTCAGTTCATTAGTCATGTTCGGTTGCTTCTCGGGCAGTTAGGGGTCGATCCTAAACTATATTCAGTGCACTCGTTTTGTATCGGGGCTGCCTCAGCGGCCTCTCGGCATGGTATCCCGGCCCATATAATCAAACATCTTGGTAGGTGGACTTCGTCCTGTTTCAGCAGGTATATACCCAATCCTCACACGGAAATGGCGGAGGCCTTTTCGAAACTGGCAACTTAAATGTAGTAAAGAATAAAGACATATTTTCATTCTATCTGTTTGCCCCGTTATTGGCATTACTGTCCCCACGGACCATGGCACACTCCAGGTCAGTAATATTATTTTACAGTGCATCTGTGGGTATGTTGAGTTGTGTGTTGTATAGTCATTACAGGTGGGCGGACACCTTTCACAAGTGGGAAGGCTAATGTATTAGCCTGGGGAGGGGTTCGCGCACCCGCAGCCCTTAAAAGAGGGCAGGCCACGTTAGCAGGCACGTTCGGTGTGCGACCCACCCTTCCCTCTCAGTTCATATAATCATTTAAATACTTCAGAGTATGCCCCCTTATTGACATTACTGTCCACACGGACCATGGCACACTCCAGGTCAGTAATATTATTTTACAGTGCAGATAACTCCCTCATAGCACTGATCACCGTTCTTCCCAAGA